GGGTAAAAAAAAATGAGGACCTGATGCCAGGGGCTTAAGTGGAGAGCAAATGTTTTGAGAATGATGAGGGTAATGAATGTGCAAATGTGCTTTACACAATTGATGTATGTATGGATTGTGATAAGAGTTGTATGAGCCCCTAACAAAAAAAATTTTTTTCTTGAGTAATTAGGAAAAATACCCACAGTTTTATTATGGTATACCATAAGTGACACAATGAAACTAGATATTTAAGATGTAAAATTTGAACATTTTGATATATAGTTTATTACCACAACCTAGATAATCACCTACAAAGTTTCTATGTGCTTCCAGTTCATCTAACTATGGATGAACTTTCCCAAAGTTCTTCAGACTGTATTTAGTCTTTTCCTCTTTGCTTCTATGATTCTCTGATGTCTTTATACTCTACCTTTTCAGTTTATCTTTTGTCTCCCTCATTGTATCAGTGGGAATGTTGTCCTGTTGTGATTTGCTACTTTGTATTTGGAAGTAGAATTCTCATTTTTCTTTTTGCCCTGGGCAAAGCTTTCTCAACCTTGGCCTTATTGACATTTGGACCAGATAATTCTTTATTGAGAGAGATTGGCCTTTGAATTGTAGGGTGCTTAGCACCATCCTTGGCTTCTACCCCTCTAGGTGCCTGTTGTGAGAACTAGAATGTCTCCAGACATTTCAAAGATCTCCTGGAGGCATAATCATATGCCTTCACTTCCACCCTGATTGAGAACCACTGTGCTAGACTAAAAGCGATGAATTAGAAGACCCTAGTGGTGGTACCTATTGGGCTATTAACTGTAAGGTCAGCAGTTTGGAACCACCAAGGCTGCTCCATGGGAGGACGACACAGCTTATGGTACAGTCTCTGAAATCCCCAAGAGCAGTTCCATTCTGTCTTACAGGGTTAGAATGAGTCAGAATTGATTCAATGGCAGAGGATTAGAGGGGTGTGTGTATTGTTTTTGTTAATTATAATATGTACAACCATTAGCATAGTAACTGGTACATATTAGATAGTCAATTAATGGAAGTTAATTTTTTTTAAGTAATTTTATTGGTGTCTCTTACAACTTTTACCACAATCCATACATCCATTGTGTCAAGGACATTTGTACATATGTTGCCATCATCATTTTCTTTCTTTTTTTTTTTTTAAATCATTGTGTTAGGGTTCTCTAGAGAGATAAAACCAAATTGCTGATAATTTAATATATTTATTTATAAAGATAATTAGATATATAACAAGAAATGA